AATTCCATGTTTACGAATAATTTGTCCTAGGGGTAACATATATAAAGTAAAAAGCAGTGGGCCTAAAACAGAACCTTGTGGAACTCCAAAAGTAACCTCAGTACACATGGAGAAATCACCATTTATATCTACGAAATGATAACGATCGGTCAGATAAGACCTGAGAAAGGAGAGGACTGTTCCCTTAATGCCAACAACATTTTCTAATCTATCAAGGAGAATAGTATGATCTATAGTATCAAAAGCTGCACTAAGGTCGAGTAACACAAGCAGCGAGACACAACCCTGATCTGAGGTCAGAAGAAGGTCATTTACTACTTTAACTAATGCTGTCTCTGTGCTGTGATGAGGTCTAAATCCTGACTGATACATTTCATGAATGTTATTCCTTTCTAAGTATGAGCATAACTGCTTTGCTACTACCTTTTCTAGAATCTTAGAGATGAAGGGGAGATTCGATATTGGTCTATAGCTGGACAATTGAGACGGGTCAAGGTCAGGTTTTTTTATCAATGGTTTAATAACAGCTAATTTAAGAGATTTAGGTACATAGCCAATGGTTAGGGAAGAATTTACTATATTTAAAAGTGACTTAATTACTCCTGGACAAATCTGTTTAAACAAACATGTAGGTATGGGATCTAGTATGCAGGTTGATGAATTGGCTGATGAGATTAGTGTAGCAATCGATGGCTTGCAGCTCTTCGTAACTTTTTTCACCTACTGAATCTGGACGTCCTGTGGAACTTTCTGGAAAGCTGTCTAAAGTGACTGAGTAAGAAAGCTAACTTTGTTTCAAAACAAATTCTCCCCGAATCAAAGAATTGTTGTTTATAGTTAATAGCCAACAACCACCTAATAATATTGTATTAGATTTACTTCAGTTTTGGGTTTTGTTACAATCCAGAAAGATTATAGATATTTTGCAGAATATACTCTGCAGCTGGGATGCAGTGCTTCTGCTAATCATAAAGGGGTCCTTTAAGAAGCATTTCATTATCCGGAATGTTTTTTAATTTTACTAACATTGGGAGATGGGTTGTTTTTTTTAAGGATTGATGGAAAAACACACACCATGACCCTTATTTATGAAGCTGGATACAAACGGATTTATGCGTAAATCGTTTATACGAGCATTCACACAAGAAATTGGGTATTTGTGAAAATCCTATAAATTCAGAAAAAAAATTCTATATTTTCTAATTATATAATTTGCTAGGATTACTGCACTTTTACATATGGAATATGCTGTCGAGTTTAAACTGCTTATTTTTATTACATTTACAGCGTTTATCAGACGCCCTTATACAGTGCGACTTCTAGATGTGCTTTGGAGTCTCTTACCACAAAAACACATCTTCATGCTAGTTCACTAGGACAGAGTGTAAGAGTGCCATCAAGAACATTTTGTGAAAACCAATCGTTTTTATATTATTGGCATTATTTAAGGATTTGAAGCCTAAAGAAAGCGAGCCAACGAAAACCCCTAAATTAAGAGAAATAAAAATCAATTATGATATCTATTAACAGAGGACAGACTGGTCTGTTGGCATAGAGCCATATGCTGTAAACAAATGCCTGAGCTGATGGAAGATTTAGTGCTTGCTTATTATTCTTAACATTATAGCACATTTGGCTCACACCTCCAAGTTTGTGGGTTTGAATCCCGCCTCCGCCCTTTGTTTGTGGAGTTTGCATGTTCACCCTGTGCTTCAGGTACTTCGGTTTCTCCCTCAGTCCAAGACATGCGTTGTAGGCTGATTGGCATTTCTAAATTGTCCATAGTGTGTGAGTGTAGGTGTGATTGTGCCTTGGGATGGATTCGCATCGCATCCAGGCTGTCCCCCGCCTGGTGCCCTGAGTACCCTGGGATAGGCCCTCCAGCAACACTGTGTAGGATAAGCACTATAGAAAATGGATGGATGGATTTTTATTGGTGTAGAAGTGAGTCAGAACAACTTCCACTTCTAGCTTGCAGCCTTTGCAGATGACTGATCTTTACACCTTGAGGAATGCACTGCAGGAAGTGTTTCCTATTTCTAGAACAAGAAGTGCTTCGCTAAACTCTCAAAACTTTCTCTAATATTTCCTGGTTTTTTTTTTTATCTCTCTTTCTCTTTGCCTCCCTTTTCTCTTTTTGCTATTTCTCTCTCTCTCTCTCTCTCTCTCTCTCTCTCTTCTCTCTCTCTCTCTCTCTATCACTCTTTGTGTGTGTTCCCCCACTTGCTGTTTATACCACATTGCTACAGTGAACTTTGATCAAGCTATCTGTTGAAGACCAGATTTAGAAAAGGACTTGCCCCAAAACGTGGAGTAGTGGATTTCCTCTCTCCTTAACCCAGCTCTTTTGCATTCAGAGACTACCTGAGTATCTTCAAGTGCAGACTTTTGGTGGTTCTTTTCCTGTTTTAGAGTTTATTTATCAGTCCAGACAGTTTGTCAGAGTGATAACCTGTCTGTCTTTTTCTGCAATCTTTCTGCAATTATTTGTGATCTCTTTAATACAAGGGTCTTCAATTGGCAGACTTCGCTCCAGATGCAGATACAACAAAATATTTTTGTGGACGGCATCAAACAAAAAAGTACCAGAATCAATCAATGTATGAAAAAAAAACTGTAATTCAGAGACTCTAGTTTAAACATGAACTTGTGCGCTGTATTGACTCATCACATGCTTTTATGTAAATGATTTAGCTGAAAGCAGCACATCGGACCAGAAACTAGCTACAGGGCTAGAGACATGCCCTGTAGCAGACAGTTTTTACATTTTTAAAACATAAACATTTAATTTACCCTCTCTGGTCTGATTATTGAACACATAACATGGCTTGTATAGAAGTCGATGAAAACAGAATGTTTATGGACGATTAGACAGAGAGGTATCTGTTAATTCTCTGTTTCAATGTCTCATTTGCTTTTAATCCTAGTCAAAATTTGTTGTTAAAGACTAAGCAGTAAAAGCTAACTGTTGTCACTATTGTCACATGAATCACTTAGCTAAATTTTTGCCAGGAAATGTAAGTAGCTTTCATTAATTTCATTAATACTTTTTAACAGCAGCTCAGTGAGATAAGTACTTTACAAAAATCTATAGCACAAAACATAACTGCATTCAAATTCTGAAGCCTGATGTGGTACAATTTGACTCACAATATAGGGTTTTCTTTGTGAGCGATCTCACAATAAGATATCACTTATTGAGAATGCTTTGGCATTTGAGTTATTTATTTGTTTATTTTGCATTATAAAATAAAAGATTTTACCTTCTCGTGAGTTTCTTGCTATTTAGAAACATGTGAGATTTGACTTTCTGTCATGCTTTGTTCTAAAATGTCAGCAAAACCCGTTTCTTTTGTTAGTTGTCCTGTAGGTTAATGCTACCCTTCCTACTAAAGACATTGTGTGCTGTTGAGGAAAGAATTCGGATTACCACGTTACAGTTCCTTCACTCCACCAATTTTGTTGTGCCATTTGTGAATTTACAGATTAGTGGGCTTGATTAATTATTGTTCATGACTGATTTATCCAAAATACAATAACCACTGAGCAGTTGAGGGTTAAAAGTCAAGGGGCAGTTTGGACAACTTTCTAATCAGTAATCACTGAGCCGCCACTCTCCGTAGTACTGCACCACTGCTTAAAATGGTAATGTTACGCAACGGCAGATGTTAAAACATTTATGGCTGCATTCGTGTGATTATCAGGAGATTGCGAGTTCAAATCCTGTGGCCAGGAGTCCAAGATAGCATGCTGCCATGCTGACTGGATGGGAGGGAGAAATGGCATACTTTCTGACCCCTGTCATTCACCATGACACTAGGTAATCATGAGTGTCTATGAGCTCTGTTTGCGTGAGAGGGCGTAGAGCATTTTCCTCCAAATGTTTTACTCTGCCCTGTGACACAGTTTGAAAAGATGTGGTTGGCTGGGTTCATGTGATTGGAAGCTATCATATGATAGGGAGACATGGCTGATTGGTGGGAATTGACTAAGAATATATTACAGAGAAACTGGGTGGAATATATCCAAAACAAACAAACAAACAAAAATATTTATGGTTATATTATAGTACAGGAATGGACAAATCATAAAGTCATTAGCTTCTCCACCAGGGAACATCTGTTGCCCATGTTATACTTTTCCAGAAGCTCAATTAAATCAGCTAAAATGCAAGGAAGAGTGCACTATCTGAACCAAATGCACCCTCTCCAAGGGAGAGGTGACTTTATGCAGATAATGTCTGTGACCTTTCTAGATAAAAAGGCAAGTCTTTGGCTAGCATTTGACTATGACCTGTGTTCTCTCGTCACATGTAAAGATGCTATTTGAGTCTTATTAGCGTTTTCATTTTCATTCGATGAAGTGTTAAAAGGCAAGGTGACTGTGTGACTGTGTGTTGTGCTAGCATTAGAGTTATGTAACCATTCTGAGCTGCACTGTACTGTATGTTTGCTCGGTTTAGCCATGGTTTTCCAAATCCCTTCATCTTCCTTATTCAGGAATCTGTTCAAGGATTTTGCCTAAAATCTGTTCAAGTTACTCAATATTCCCTGAGAAAAGTACCCCCTAGCAAACCTTGATTAATGTGCGTTATAATGAGGCAGGTGATGGGATTTGAGATAGAACAGCGTGCCATGGCATCAAGGTTTTTCATGAACCAGTGAACCAATTGTAGCATGTATTTAAACTACTATTTCAAATGAAAAGTTGTGTTTGTGATGGTTAATATGTTTTTTTTCCTTTTTTTCTCTTGTTGATTACAACTGAAAAACAAACAAGCATCCGTCCATCCATTATCTGTACCATTTATCCTATACAGGGTCATGGGAAGCCTAGAGACTATTCCAGAGAACTCCCCGGACAGGGTTTCAACCCACTGCAGGGCACAATCACACACAATTTAGAGATGCCATTCAGCCTATAATGCATGTGTTTGGACTGGGGGAGGAAACCGGAGTAACTGGAGGAAACCCCCAAAGCACACTGAGAACTTGCACACAGGGCAGAGGCAGGAATCGAACCCCCAACCTTGGAGATGGAGCCAAACGTGCTAAGCACTAAACCACCATGCCCTGCAATAGTCTGAAAACACATGGCATCTACTAATGAGTTAAAAATTACATTTATCACATTGTGTTTTTACTCTTTACAAAAAAGAAAACAGCTTTAACCCTCCGTGGTTGTAATCCTCTGTCGTTTTTTTTTTCTGCTGTACATGTGACAGCCTTATTACAGTCTAGGCTAGAGCCCACACCTGAGATTCCTTGTTCTTTAAGAATCTGTCTCATTATTGTGTCGAAGACAAACGTTAGTGCAGCATGTTGTACCTTGATTTCCCACCCCCTACACACCCTAATGGATCCTAATGCAGGCTTCTAGGGGTTCATAAGCCTTGAAAATTATCCTGTCAATGAAAATGGGTCTCTCCATGAAAAGAGGCAGTCCCTTATAACTTGAAGAAAATAAACCCCTGCTAACAGAATGATAATTCTCAGAGCAGTGAAAGTGAAAGCAAGATTTATTTTCCCCAATCTACCTCTCATATAAAGAAATAAAGGTGTACAATAATATTTGATGTTTTTGTACAGATCTAGCCTTATGTGATGACCCGTTGGATCTTCAGTTATTTTTGGCCTGCTTTTATTAATCTTTTGTCAGTGCAAGTGAATGGTCTGTACTCAGTATTATGCTCACAGAGTGAATAGTGGGTGGCTGCTGATATTACAGCTTGAAGAGGAAAAAGAAGAAATAACAAAGGCAATGTGGAGACATAGTGCATTCTTAGCAGGGAGCACACTTAAGCAGAGCAGCCTGCTGAAAAAGTCATGAATACAAAAGAGAAAGAAGGAGAGGGCGGCAAAGAAACAGGTGTCTGACAGTCAGGCCACGCGCCAAGTCAAACACGGTGAAATGACCCAAACGGCCTGTGGTGAGGCTGGAATTGGAGGACGACGGTTCCGCTGGAGCAGCTATTTTCTCCATCAGTTCAGTTAGGCGCATTGACATGATATGGGGCAAACCGAACACATCCTCCTTATCTTGTGCGAACGTGCTGGTCACCGTGGTTGGCTAGCGCTGCTGCTTGGGTAAACAGGGAAAAAAGAAGTGCAAAAGAGACAATAATGCTCAACGAACCTAGTCTAGGATGGGATTTTAAAAGGTCAGGGGTTTATTGCAATCTGGTGATTTGACATTTCTGAAGTAATATAGCCTTAGTGCTATTTTAGTATAAAAAATAATAAAAGATGTGCTTGAAAGCGCCAATGGAGATCTGCGACGGCCCTCCTCAAGTGAGAATGCACTCACTTCACCAAACAGAGCCCAAGCAGTCGCTCAAGATGGGGATCTGGACCTAGAAAGTGAAAGACCTCCTATTTGTTCAGAGTTATAAGCGTTCTTTCAAGCCCCTCAGGGTAGAGCAGAAACTGTGAGCTTTTATTATAATTGCAAAGGTTACAAATCTCCTGTCTGTTCGTCCTGCACTGAAGTGCTTGCTAACAGGTGTGACTCATTAAGGCTAGCAGAAGGTTCTGGTTTTTTACAGTACTCTGTGATCACTTTTAAGCAAGGTCAGCTTCATCATTTGATTGGGGAGCAGGAAAATGTCAAATCTTTGGGGAATGATGTCAAAGCATGAATCTAATTTGATTCCACAGAGCTGCTCGATGGGACTACAAAAGCTTTTAGCATGCTAGCCGTATGGTAGCCATCAAGGTGTGACCAAGTGAGGAGATTTCACCCGCCTCATTCATTTCCTTGAACGCTCCAGTCTACCAGTCTACCTGCTGGCATGTGCACAGGGCCCCGTTGCCATAGAAATGACTCCCTCAGTAAATGCCCTTACTGCACTTTCTCATTTTAGCGCCTGATTTTCACTATATAAAGCACATAATGTCACTGATAGACACAAGGTCTTGCCATTTCTTGTATGGGTACAGTTTTTGCATGGATCACTTTTGGTGATGAAAAAGTACACATGCGGTTTTCTGGCACCAAAAAGCTCCAAAAATAAAAAGACTCTTAATGTGTAAATGAACACATCGCAGTAGGAAAAATATACATGTATACAAAAGCCATATATACTGAATGCGCACAGGTCACCAGGGTTCCACCTGCTATTTCTATAAACTCTCTTTTTAGTTGTTCTTTAACCTGCGTTGGCTCTTTGCTTAGCTCTAAAATTGGTTCGTGTCAAGATTCAACAAACTGGCCCACGATATAACTGCGCCTTCCAAACGCACAGATGATCTCAACCTTCTCACTTCGTCTCATAAATGTCAGGAGGATTTCAGTCCTAACAATAATGTTTTCAATCCTCTGTTGTAAAAAAACAAACAAGCAACAAAACAAAACAGAACGCAGATTGTTAGCACTCCCGCTCAAGTGTGCGTAGGAGTAGAAAAAGAAAGAAAAAGATTTAAATGACTGGGTATGATCATAACTTTAAGTCACCGAATCCCAACCCACTTTTATTCACACAGCCTACGTGGAGCTGGACCCTGTGGGCTTCAGATACTTCATGGCAGGTATGGGGAGCACACGTATGTGCCTCAGGGCACCTGTAAACATCTGTGCAAGTGCAGGAGTTCTACAGGTGATCCACTCACCCTCACTAACCTGTTGTTATTCAGTAACACATCTCCTTCAGATCCTTTTTGTGTATTTTTGTGCATATGTCTGTCATTGTGGAATCTCGTCTCCCTTTTGTATATGTGTATGTTTATCCTGCTGTGTTATGTTTGTTTTATGGACTAAGTATCTCTTCATCATTAATTCGTCTTGGAGCAAACATACAGTTTTTGGCACCAGCAAGACCTGTGGTACTTGGGTGGAGCTAACTGCACTGTTCACTAAAGAACAGTGACAATCAGGACATTTACATGGACAACAGTATTCCGATATTCACCCGATTTAGACCATACTCTGATTAAGAAACTACCATGTGAACAGTTTATTATTGATTAATCCTTAATTCGGCTAAAGTCATACTCGAAGTCAAATCGAATTAGGACATGTGGAGAATTCCTATATTAGTCACATTATCGAGGTGCATTACAGACATGTACAGACCTTAATCACACTATTAACGTCATGTGGTAGTTTTCACCACATTTTGCGACAGGACACACACACACAGCAGTGCTCAACCGTTTGATGGCAAACAAGCGTCCGAAACCGCGTACTTACCTACTATATAGTATTGGAAACACATGTATACAGTACATGGTAAGTATGCGGGTTCGGATGCAGCTTATGGCTTCAAGCAGTCGTCTATTTGCATGTATAGCATGACAAATAATTAACTGCACTTGAAGCTTTCATAAAATGAAAAATGGAACACCCAAAACTATATGGTACCATCACGAAGACGATCTGTATGTTGATACGTGAAATTCTGGAGGGAACGTTGTACGGCGTAACGTGGGGACATAATGAAGTGCGCCGTTAATGGATCTATGTTCTATAACATGTAAAACGGGAACATCAAAGGAATATTCCAAAAGCGACTCGCAAACACCTTAATCAGAATATTGTCTTATTCAGAATAAGGTCAATAATTTGATTATTGTTGTCCATGTAAACGTAGTCAATGATACAATACACTGCAGTGTTTATTACAGAAGAATGACAATCCAAGCACTTAATCCATGTGTAACGGACCAGACGGAGACATGTGCAAGGTTAATTAATTTTCAATACAAGCTTGTTGTTGTTCAAACATACAGAGGTCAAACACAGTAAGGGCATTAAACATGTAAGTCACAGGGAGAATTCAAAAGAATAGTCAAATGTGCAGAAGCAATGTTAAGGCACGAGAAAGGCAAATGAGGCAATACAACTCGGAAATTCCACACAAGAACTCAAGAAAACAGCAAGACTTTGGGTCTAACAATGACGTGACATGTGCTTTACGTAGTGGATGACCTAGGAAGTAGACACGAAATAGGAAATGAGCAAATTGCTTTACGACTACACGGGAAGGGCTTCCCCTAAACGTTCATTGAAATGCTGCAGATATCTCGTTGCAGTATCACACTGTTCATTCATTCAACACCAACTGTTATCAGTGGACAGTGCAGCTTGAGCGAAAGTCTCCATAGAAGCCCCGCTGATAGAACTGCATCAAGTACACTGTGTTTTAATGGGAGAAGACGTTAACAGTCATTGGACACAAGACCATTAATGTGTAATTTTGGGTCCAGCCCGGATACACATTTTCACAGTCAGTCAGTGAGAGCTGACACAGAAAACAACATCAAAGCATTTATTGGACAATGCCATCTTTGCTTATGCTGCTTGAAAGCACGGCTTCTCCATCTGATGGTCAGGAGACGTCGTAAAGTGGCGGAACCTCAAAATCAACTGGCAGTTACGGCAAATGAAACAGTAATGAACATGACTGACATCTCAAACTTAAACATCAGTGCATGCAAAAAAAGAAAAAAAAAAAAAAAAAAAAAAATTAATTAAAAATTAATTAAAAAAAAAAAAAAAAAAACAAGAAAAACATTTTTGTTTAAATATGAACACCTGATTACAAATTACTTTAAAAATTTAAAAAAAAAAAATAAAAATATTAAAAAGCTTTAACATTTTAGCAACAATACATTATGTTCTTGGATAATATGAATGGTTATTGGGAAGCAATTGTTTGAAATAACAAAGAATTGTTTGTTATTTTGGAATTTATTACAAATGTATTATACTTTAGTCTTTGCAGTACATGTTAAACTGTACTGTACATGTGTATTTTTTGGCGTTTTGGTGTTGGGGAGAAAAAAAAAAATAAAAAAACATTTTTTATAAAAAAAAAAATTACTACCTCATGTTTGTAATATATTCCTCGCTTTTTTTTTCTTTGCACCCCTTTTTTTTTCCTTTTTGCCTTTCTGGTATTTTTTTTTAGAAGACCCTAATCAACCTAACCTGTGACCCCCTCACCACTCCATATTTAGCTAGTTCCAAACACTGATGAGAACACAACGTGTATATATCTGTCACTCTCTATATAGTCAGTAAAGACATCACAGGTGTTCAGAAGTGTTTAAACAGCGAAGCCGTTCACATGGGG